CATCCATCCATCCATCATATCCCATCCATCATCCACTCCATCCATTTCATCCATCCATCCATGCCATCCATCCATCCATCATCCATCGCATCCATCCATCCATCCCATCACAACACAATAATCCATCCATCCATCCATCCATCCATCCATCCAGCCATCCATCCATCCATCCACCATCCATCCATCCATTTCCATCCATCCATCCACCATTCCCATCCATCACATCCATCCATCCATCCACCCCATCCATCGTATCCATCCATCCATCCATCCATCCATCCATGCCAATCCATCCCACCATCGATCCATCTACCTATCTATCCATCCATCCATCCATCCATCCATCCATCCATCCATCCATCCAATGCCACCCAAGCTATCCATCCATCCATCCATCCATCTATCCATCCATCCATCCCATACCAAATCCATCCGATCCATCCATCCACCGTCCATCCATCCATCCAACTCCACCCATCCATACTATCCATCCATCCATCCATCCATCCATCCATCCATTCCATCCATCCATCTATCCAATCCATCCATCCATCCATCCAATCCATCCATCCATCCATCCATCCACCATCCACCCATCTATCCATCCATCCATCCATCCATCCATCCAATTCATCCATCCATCCACCCATCTATCCATCTCGATCCATCCATGCCATCCATCTATCCATCCATCCATCCATCCATCCATCCATCCATCCATCCATCCATCCATCCATCCATCCATCCATTCCATCCATCCATCCATCCATCCATCCATCCATCCCATCCATCCATCCATCCATCCACCCATCTATCCACTCCATCCATCCATCCAACCATCTATCCATCCATCCATCGCAGTCCGATCATCTCATTCCATCCATACCAGTCCATCCAGTCCATCCATCCATCCACCATCCATCTATCCACCACCCCATCCATCCATCCATCCCATCCATCCATCCATCCATCATCCATCCTATATCCATCTATTTATCCATGCATTCATCCATCTATTTATCCCATCTATTTACCATCCATCCATCCACCATCCCATCCATCATCCATCCATCATCCATTCATCCATCCATCCATACCAATCCATCATCATCCATCACATCCATCCATCCTATCCATCCATCCATCCATCCATCCATCATCCATCCATCCATCCATCCATCATCATCCATCCACTCCTTCACCCAATCCAAATCTATCCACATCCATCCATCCATCTTTCATACCATCCATCCATACCCATCCATCCATCCATATCATCTCCATCCATCCATCCATCTATCCAATCCATCCATTCCATTCCATCTTCCACACATCCATCCATTCCATCCATCCATCCATCCACCATCCATCCATCCACATCCATCCATCCATCCATCCTCCATCCATCTCATCCATCCCTATCCATCCATCCATCCATCCATCATCATACATCCACCCAGTCCCATCTATCCATCCATCCATCCATCCATTCCATCCATCCATCCATCCACCATCTATCCATCACCCATCTATCCATCCATCCATCCATCCATCCATCCATTCCATCCATCCATCCATCCACCCACATCTATCCATCCATCATCTATCCATCCATCATTCTATCCATCACCATCCATCCATCCATCCATTCCATCCATCCATCCATCCATCCATCCATCACCATCCATCCATCCATCCATCCATCCACCCATCCATCTATCCATCCATCCATCCATCCATCCATCCATCCATCCATCCATCCATCCATCCATCCATCTATCCATCTCTACCATCTATCATTCATCATTCCATACCATCCATCCATCATACCATTACATCCATCCATATCATCCATCCATCATCCATCCATCCACCATCTATCCATCCATCCAATCCACATCCATCTCATCTATCCATCCATCCATCCATCCATCAATCCATCCACCTCTAATCCAGTCCATCAATCCATTCCACATCGCATCCATCCATCCATCCATCCATCCACCCAATCTATCCCCATCCATCCATCCATCCATCCATCTATCCATCCATCCATCCACCATCCATCCATCCATCCATCTATCCATCCACCCATCCATTCCATCCATCCATCCATCCATCCATTCATCCATCCATCCATCCATCCATCTATCTCATCCATCTATTTACCAATTCAATCCAGTCCAATCCATCCAATCCATCCACTTACCATCTATCCATTCATCCATCCATCCATCTCCATCCATCCATCCATCCATCCATCCATCCATCCACATCCATCCATCCATCCATCCAATCATCCATCCATCCATCATCACCATTCACCCATCCATCTATACATCCATCCATCCATCCATCCATCCATCCATCCATCATCCATCCACATCCATCGATCCACTCCAATCCATCTATCCATCCATGCCTCATCCATCCATATCCATCCATTCCACCTCATCCATCCTATCCGATCCATCCATCCACTCCATCCATCCATCCATTCCATCATCCATCCATCATCCATCCATCCATCCATCCATCATCCATCCATCATCCATCCAACCATCCATCCATCCAATCCATCCCCATCATCTATCCATCCATCCATCCATCCATCCATCCATCGCATGCTTATCCATCCAATCCATCCATCCATCCATCCATCCATCCATCCAACCACATCCATCCATCCAGTCCATCCATCCACCTCCATCCACCCATTCCATCCATCCAATCCTACATCACCATCCATCCATACCCACCATCCCATCCATTCCATCCATCCATCCATCCATCCATCCATACCATCCATCCATCCATCCATCCATCCATCCATTCCACCCATCCATCTCAATCCATCCATCCATCCATCCATCCACCATCCATCATCCATCCATCCTTCCAATCCATCCATCCATCCATCCAATCCACTCCATCCATCCATCCATCCATCCATCCATCCATCCATCCAGCCATCGCATCATCCATCCATCACCCGATCCATCCATCCACTCCATCCATCCATCCATCCATCCATCCATCCATCCATCCATCCATCCATCCATCCATCCCATCCACTATCCCATATTACACCGTTATGTACTAGCTAGCATGATCACGTCGCATATATAAGCGTTACATGTTACATATTATGAATGTGTTCTAGATCAGAGCGTTGCGTGTTAGTTATATTCACTGTTACACATCTTACAGCTCGTACAGCTGACGCCGGCGGCCCGCCCGCACCCAGGGTTGGCGACGGTTGGATACACGCTGCCTGCCACATGGAGCCTAATTCTGCCCTGCAGGGTAGTGAACCCCAGATCCATGGCCATCTGCACCTCATGCAAACAGTAATACGTCTAATATATATGTAATATAACTAAATTATATATAAAAATATATATATTGTAATATATATAGGACAATATTTCCCGGTTTTGTACTTCGATATTTATAACTATAATACTATGTCCAGTGTGTTCTTTTGAATGTCACCGCGGTGTTCCATACACTGATCACCTCATCCCGTTCCTCTCTTTCTGCCTCCGCTTTTCTTTTTCTCTAGGCATAGAGGTGTTCTCTTCGACAGGTATATGTACACATCAGTGGACCCACACAATCAATACACAGCCTGTCCCATACTGAACCGACCTGGCTGCCGCTGTAAGGCATTACGGCGCCTTCTACCGGTGAACCTGACCGGTACAAGAACACCCCCACCCCTCACAGCACCCACGTCTGACCCAAGCTCTCACCCCACCTTATCATACCACTCCACCCCTGACCCCACCTCTCACCCCTTACCCCACCCTCACCCCACCCTCACCTCACCCCTCGTTGCTGTGTTCGCTCACGCACGCTTGCTTCGGGCAGCCCGGCGAGGACCTGATGATTCACATGAGCCTCAGTGGCTTCGGCACCGCCGCCGGTCACCGGCATGGCTTCCACGTGCACAAGTACGGTGACAGGCACGAGGGATGTACCTCCGCCGGTCCGCACCTCGGCCACGCGACCGCAACGCACGGCGACCCTACCGACGCCATCAAGTGCGTACTTCCGGTGCGTTCACAACCATGACGTGATCGGTAGCGTGCGTACATCCGGTACGTCTACAACCATGACGTCATTGGTAGCGCGCGTACATACAACCATAACGTCACCGGTAGCATGCGTACATTCGGTACGTCTACAACCATGACGTCATCGGTAGCGTGCGTACATACAACCATGACGTCATCGGTAGCATGCGTACATTCGGTACGTTAGCAGACACGACGTCGGAAGTAATTTTTGCCTCGCCGGAACGTCGGCATCTGTGATGTACGGCTATCGACCCTTGCCCTAAAGGGCGCCATAACCATTCCACGAATTTCATACAACTGTAATTATTTTACATCTTAATTATAATTTTAAATCTTCACTAAGTCATCACGTTAATCCTCTGATTGCATACGCTCATTCATTAATTTTTCCGAATTTATAAATCGACCGTATTTTAGTTAATTAATAAATTAATGATCATAATTCCACTGATTAGTCTAATTGCGCTTCGCGTTGCAGGCACTTGGGTGACCTTGGGAACATCGAGTGTGATGCGGAAGGTAACGTGAGTACAACGCTGCACGATAGCCAGGCAAAGATTTACGGTTCGATGTCCATCCTGGGCAGGGCGATCGTGGTGAGTGACCGTCCCATGTAGATCGTGGTAGAGAGATACGCACAGGCGTACCGCAACCTACGCACGCACCGCCGCAAGCTATGCGATAATGTTGCAGAATTAGTACGCCAGGGGTCGCGCGCGCATCGTCTCGGAGCTATTAAGCACTAGCGCTGTGATCGTGGATATCTTATATACACGTGTATCTAAGACGTATAATAGCTGTGACGACGCGTGGGAGACTACTGCACTCCGATGCTTGCCGAAATCTCACGGGATTTGACAATTCATTACGGAAAATTCACGGTTATAGCCGAATTATGTCTCCGAGTGTCGACACAAGCCTAACGGCGTCTGATTTGTTATTGATATGAGCAGACCTTGTGGTAAGCCAGCCGCATGTACATGTATTTTTCGTAAGAGCCACGCGTAGAATATGAGATCTCGACGATAATTTTCCTTAACCAGAGAGAGAGAGAGAGAGAGAGAGAGAGAGAGAGAGAGAGAGAGAGAGAGAGAGAGAGAGAGAGAGAGCGAGAGAGAGAGAGAGAGAGAGAGAGAGAACGAGAGAGAGCTATACGTTACATAATTGAAGAAATTAAACCGAATCTACACCGTGATCCTCATTTAATTTCATTAAATCCCCTTCAAATTCTATCCTCATAACGAAGTGGAATCTCTAATCAACTTATAATAATATATATATATATATTATATATATATATGTGTGTGTGTGTGTGTGTTGTGTGTGTGTGCTGGGTGGTTGTGTGTGTGTGTGTTGTGTGTGTGTGTGTAGTTGTATGTAGTGTGTGTACGTGTGTGTGTGTGTTGTGTGTGTGTGTGTGTGTGTGTGTTGGGTGTGTGTGTGGTGGGTGTGTGTGTGTGTGTGTGTTGTGTGTGTGTACGTGCGTATGTAGTGTGTGTGATGTGTGTGTGTGCTGTTGTGTGTGTATATAGTTGTGTGTTGTTGTTGTGTGTGTGTGTGTGTGTGTGTATTGTGTGGTGTGTGTTATGTGTGTAGTATGTGTGTGTGGTAATGTTGTGTGTGTGTGTGGTGTATGTGTGTGTTGTGTGTGTGTGTTGTTGCGCGCGGTGTGTGCGTGTGTGTGCGTGTGTGCGTTCGATGCGTGTGTGTTCGTGTGTGTGTTTGCCGCGCGTGTACGTGTGCTTAATATATATAGTATATATATATGCGCGCGTGTACGGTGGTCGATAATATAAATACAGATATATTATATATATATATATATATATATATATTAAATTATAATTATACTTCAAAGACGTACTAGGATAATCTAACGCAGAAGCCATGTTCATGGATAATTGTAAATGTACGAATTCACAACACGCGACCGTTACTTTATATACGACCTCTTCCATCGCAACACGCGTCTTCAATGATTCCAGCAGTTGACGAAGGCTCGCATGCAGGCACGGGTCTTCACACTGTCATTTGTCCTGAATTTTCTAATCTATAAAATTATCTAAATTTAGCGCAATCTTAGCATCGACCATGGCCATGAGAAATAGATTTCTACAGGGAAGTTGATAAGAGAAGATTAACTACATGCCCAGTGTAGGGAAGGCTGCTGCTAACCCGTGATCGTAATTAGTGATTACGCGTGAGTGTATATGTAACAGCACCTTTGCTAACTGTCTACGACTCATATTATAAAGAACACAACATACACTGGATATACGTTAGCGTTTGCAGTGACCTCTTTACATGTACTATGTATAACTCAATAACAAAGTATGCGCAGTACACTAGTTTACGCGAGACCGGAGCCGTCATAACTTACTAGGCTAATGCTGGATCGTCCGTTAGTAAGCAAATGTGCAATCTCGCGTATCTTATCCCTGTCTATCTCTTGTCTGGTATCTCTGACGCGTTCATCGCTCTCCTCTTAACGCAGAGATTACTATCAGCACCAAACTTGAGACTCCGCCTATCTATTGTTTATCGGCAACAGGCTGCTAGAGCTACCGCCGTAATTGTTTCTTCTGGCTAACTCGCGTAGCCCAGGGTCACGCCTTACACACTTGGCCGTACCCCAAACTAGAATCAATAGCTTAACCCATGCTAATTATTATTTATGTTTTTGCGGTATTAACACCAGTATCAATTTGAGCATGGGCAGATCAATTGCTATCAACCCACAGCGCAGCGATAACCGGGGAATGACTCTACTTAAAATTAGTCAATAGCATCGATCAAGCAGGCCAATACTAATGTCTTATTAATTATATACTAAATAATTTTGCAATACTAAGTCACGATCGTAATCGATTGCGTCTAATCCCACAATTTATCCAGCCATCTATCACAATTCATCCAGAGCCATCCAGTTCAAGCATCCATCTACACCATCCATGCCATCCATTCATCCATCCCATCCATTCCATCATCCATCCATCCATCCATCCATCCATCCATCCATCCATCCATCCATCCATCCATGCCATCCAGTCCATGCCATCCATCCATCCATCCATCCATCACATCAATCCATCCATCCATCCATCCATCCATCCATCCATCCATCATCCATCACCATCCATCATCCATCCATCCATCCATCCATCGCATCCATCCATCCATCCATTCATCCATCCATCTCATCCATCCATCCATCATCCATTCCATCCATCCATCCATCCATCCATCCATCCATCCTCCATCCATCATCCATCCATCCATTCATCCATTCATCATCATCCATCCATCCATCCATCCATCAATCCATCCATCTTTCCATCCATCTATTCATCTATTATCCATCCATCCATCCATTCCAATCCATCCATCCATCCATCCATCCCATCCCATTCCATCCATCCATCCATCCATCCATCCATCCATCCAATCATCCATCCACCAACAACTAGCCTCTCTATCTGTCTCTATAGCGCTTCACGTTAAAGGAGAATTTGACAACAAACACGTGCACGCAATGAACGGATTGTTAACGGAACTCTACTTTTTGTTCCTTTTAAAAAAACAGTCAATTATTTCTTCTCCACGCATCAATTTAACTTAACTCCAAACAGCCGCTAAACAAACAAAGAAAAAAAAAGACGCAAACAAACAAACGAAGGAACAAACAAAATACAAACAAACAAGAGCTAAGCCTTTGTACGAACCCCCCTCCCCTCCCCCTTTCAGGACTTCATGAGAGCAACCATAGCAATACCACGTGGCGAGACAAGGCAGCAGGCAGCAGCACAGCACGCCAACTTCTTCAGCGCAGACAACACACCTGGCGGCTAGCAGATCGATATCGGCGATCAGTGATACGACTGCTATCAGCTTCCTCGCTGAGACCCACGGTTTCAAAACCTGCCGATAATCGACGAACACAACAACGACCGCGGCCGCGTGTTTTCTTTCGCAAGCCAGCAGAACGTTTCCCATTAGGCATCACGAATATGCAGAGTGCACACCTAGACGCAAACACCCGCCAACGATTTCGCGGCTGTGGGCAATATAATCCATATATCTGCATTAATGCGTGTATGCGCCATACATTACCTTCGCCTAAAAAGCCGTCTCCGCGAGTTAACGGATAGCACGAGCCGTCCGTCGCAAATCCTCGGTAATTTGTGCCTTTTGCCATTCTCGAATGTTCAATTTCCAGTTACTCCACAAAAGAGGAGCAAGCCTCTGAGACCTTGATCAACAACAAGTCTGCTCGCTATGACGTCTTCGCTTCGCAATGTAATTGTCTTGGAGCAAAAGCGGCTGGTACGCGAAAGCAAAAGAAACACGAACTAGAAAAAATACTGAGGGGAAAAATCGCACATGTTGCGTTATTGGCTTTGAGGGCTTTTTGAAAGCCGTATTAATGTTGCAATGAGGCGACGTAGTTGAATGGTTTTGGTGGCGGGAATGCACCCATGGCTGCCTGTGCGATGAATTCTCACTTCGAACGTCTGCCTCACTATTCCTACAGCGACGAAAATGTCGTGCTGTATACATATATACAGGCGACTGACATTTTCGATATATTTATATATATATATATAATATTATATATTTAGATAGTTATGATTATATATTATATAATATATATTATATTATTTTTTATTTTATATTTATATATATGTAATATATTTATGTATATTATATATAATTTAGGACACGTATATTTTTAGACGGATATCGTTGTGGATGATGTAGCGGTACGTGCTTCTTTGTTAAACCGGAACAAATAATTCTTCTTCCGATACAAGATAGAGCCGGCATATAAACACACACGCTGCACACACACACCACACACACACAGGCACACACAGCCACACACCCACTGGCACACACACACACACACACACACACACACACACACCATAACATACACATAAACACATAACACACACACACACACAAACACACGACACAGCACACACAGCACACACGCACACACACATACACATACACATACGACACACACAGTCAGAGCACACACACCACACAGAGGCGCTACACACACACATACACACACACAACACACACACCAGCACACCACACACACACACACTACACACACACACACACACACACCACACACACACACACACACACAACACACACAACACACACGCTGCCGCGGCGCATTGATATATACACACATAACACACACACACACACACACACACACGGCACACGGCACAACACACACACACCACATGCATACACACAGGACAGCATCACACAACACACACATGCATACACACCATGCACACAACACACCCACGCCACACAACACACACACACACACACACACACCCACAGGCACACACACACACACACACACAGCATACACACGCACGCACGCACAGGAGGCGCATAACGCACACACACATTCACACCAACACACATCACACACACAGCACACCACACCAGCATACACACACACACACACACACAGCACACACGCACACATGCTTACACACACACACACACACGCCCACCCACCCACACAACACACACACAACACACACACACACACACACACATATACACACGCACGGCACGCACACGCGGGTCATACGCCAGCACGCAGCACGCACAACGCGCGACAGCGCACGCATCACGCACACGACACGAGAGTGTGCACATCGCACACGCACACGCACACGTACGCCGAGGCGCAGCGCACACGCACACAACGGCACGACGCACACAATCACACACACACATACACACACACACACAATGCACACGTACACGCACGACGCACACATCCACGACACTACACAACACACACACACACACACACAAGGGACGCACAACACATACACACAGTACACACAACACGCACACAACACATGCAACACACA